GGATCTGAACAAGACATCAGAGAAAGCCTCCAGATCAGCAGAACCCTAAGGACAACAGAGCCACAAAGACTAAGGTTCAGCATCTAAGGAACCTTCAGATTGACAGCTTCCTAAAATAAATTCTAACCACACACCTCTGTGTATAAACTAACTCTGTAAGCATAAACATCAGTTCCTTAGGGTACACTTTGCTTTTCAGTAAAAGTTCTTCTAGAAGAGTTTCCTCCAATGAGTGTAAAATAGCAAGCACACTAAAACATGTTCTCTGACCCACCCCTGCCCCCCTTACCTCTTGGGACTGGCTCTTACAAGCAAACAAGCTCAGCTGCTTCTATGTTCTAAAGAGATTAGAAAGAGAAAAAAACTCCCCAAAAGGCAAGGTGTCTGAACAGATTAGATTCTGCAAATTACAATCACTTGCAAAAAAGCACAAGTGTGTAACTCGAGCCACACCCCTACAGCAGGGACACCTGACTAAAATGTCTAATAGACAGTGTCTCAGTTGCCCACCTATCACCAACGGTGAGAATGAAAAGCAGCCCTGACAATCAGGCAATGGCAACACTGGCAGGATGTATGCATTGCAAATCAAAGTCCAGAAATGATTCCTACAGTTTTTCCAATGATTTCTTAAGACCCTGACGAAGGGAGAAAGGAAGGAAGGGACGAAGGGAGAGAGGAGGAAGGAAGGAAGGAAGGAAGGAAGGAAGGAAGGAAGGAAGGAAGGAAGGGAGGAAGGGAGGAAGGGAGGAAGGGAGGAAGGGAGGAAGGGAGGAAGGGAGGAAGGGAGGAAGGGAGGAAGGGAGGAAGGGAGGAAGGGAGGAAGGGAGGAAGGGAGGAAGGGAGGAAGGGAGGAAGGGAGGAAGGGAGGCAGGCAGGCAGGCAGGCAGACAGGCAGGCAGGCAGGCAGGCAGGCAGTGTTTCTGTTCCCTGCTCTACACCCTGGCTCACATGTCATCAACTACAATCCCCCTACCCTCATCCTGACTGCTAGTACACATCACCTCACTCACTGGATCCCCGGCCATTACTACCATCCTGCTTCTTACTCTGATTAGACACTATCAAATCTGATCATATTTAAAGACAGCTCACCAAAATAAAATAGCCATACAGAAATCACTTCTACCATTCATAACAGGGTACAATAATTCTTGTTCTACCTAGTGAAAGCACTCTGTACCTTAACTCACAAGATTCCTGTGATTAACAGGGTTAGTGCAAAAGCCACTCCCTTTTACACATCCAGCTTCCTGCCACTGACTCCACGTTCATCCATTCATTCATACAACCAAAAGGTAACTGCTGAGCTCCATTTACCTACCCAACATCATTTACTGTGCTTAGGGCTGAAGAAACTACACCAAGTGAGATAAACAAGATCTCTTCTCCTTCAAAGCAGTAATTCAAGATATGGAGTGCCCAATCATTACTTCAGTAATGTTCTAATTATGATTGTGGTAAGAAAGATTCAGGGCAATGTCTCAAATAAAGCATAACTCAGTATGGAAAGATGAGGAACTGTTTCCCTAGCAAGGACTTTTAAGCAAAATGTAAAGATGAGTACAAACAGCAAGGGGGAAAAAAGGGCTCAGGGAAGGACAAGGAGTAGAATGTACAAAGGCACGGAGGCAACACTCCAGGAATCTGGAGAGCCAATGGGCAAAGGTCAAGGCCCAGGGAAAGAGCCAGAAAAGAAACAGGGTTACTGCTAATAGCTGCTACTCTTACACTTAGCACACTTCAGAATTACTCATTTTCAAATATTCAGTCTCCATTAGCACACACTTATATTTCTGCCCCAAAACCTAATCCAGTGCTTAACTGGCCTCAAGACATGTGGAATAAAGAAGTGTTTGATCTACAAAAAAAAAAAAAAAAAAAAAAAAAAAAAGCCTGAGCCTCTGACTGCCCTAAAGCTTACTACTCAGCAATAGAATACATTTTCAATGTTTATGTATCTTAAAAAATCCAAACCAGTATTACTTATGAAGTTTTAAATCCTGAAACTAAATTTAAGATGGCAAAGGGAACGTCATATCCTTATTGCCCCATCCTGACATCAATTAATACCCAAGAGAACGCTTTTAAACTCCCACAGTGAAAAGGTGGCAGCTCTTACTCTCCAGCTGCACACCGTATTGATCAGGCGCAAGAGCAGGAGCCAGCCAGCACCTGTGCCATCATGTTCTCCTTCCTTACTCACCCTCAGTACAGGAAATACAAGCTAGTGACTAAGAAAATGCCAAGATCCAACTGGCATCCCGCCACTAATTACCGGGAGGTAACAGAGCAGAGCACCCTTTAACCCTAGGCTTTACTTTAGGGCCATGTTCTCAAAGAATGATGGGAAAACAGTCCTTCAAAGAAAACAGAATTAACTAGTAAAAGTTCAATGAAATTACTATTCAGTGAGGGAAATATCAATACATACACAGAATGGAAGCTTTCAATAACTGATCTAAGATCCTCATGTCTTTCATGAGTACATTAATCAGAACATATCTAACAGATTCAAAAATCATACAAAAAGCCAAAAATTCCACTATAAGAATATGCCATAATCAGCTCACCTATAAAAGGCACAAAAACTTTACATAAATATTAAAGGTATACAGTGTGTAGCAATAAATGCTCAGGAGGACGATATAGGGAAATCATATGACCCATCACAAAAAAGGGGGGGCAGGAATGTAACAGTAGTAAAACACTTACCTACCATGTAAAAATCACTGGTGTTTGATTCCCAGTGTGAGGGCATGAAAACACATGTGCATGCGCGCGCGCACACACACACACACACCTATAAAATCAAGTCTAATTGAAATTAACAACTGCTGTACCTGTGACTATTTCCTGAAGTATCAAGATAAAACAATGAAAACTTTTACAAAAATGTTTTAACATCATTCTATATTTAGTAGAAAAAAAATCTTTCTCAATCATGACAACAGAGTTCATGACCCTCAAGTTTTACCCTTGAGCTCTTGATACTAGTCTACCCGACTTTGTCCACTTCAAGAAAAAAGAGGGGTGTGGGTGGGTGTGTATAAACAAGACCAAAATATAAAGCTGTCCATTCAACACTGGATTGACTTCAGTGATTACACAAGTGATTAAAACAAATGTTGCCTACTCTTTAGAAGCAAAACTTCTTAACCTAATTAAAGAAGAATATGACTTTCTTCCATCTCCCAAAAGCAGTAAGTGAAAAACAAGATATTAAATACATTTTGCGAAAATCTAATTTTCTGCAGTACTGTTTTGGAGAAAGAAAGCAGAAATTTTAAAATTACTCCTATACACAAAAGGAAATTACTGACTTAGTAGTTTTTAAAATGTCTATGGGTCTTCATGTATCTGTGACCATCTGCACCCCCGCTGGCAAAGGGAGCCAGAAGAGGGCATAGGGCCCCTGTAACTGGAGTTACAGAGTGAGCTGCCATGTGGGTGATGGGAATCAAACCTGGGTCCTCTGGAAGGGCAGCCACGGTTCTTAACAGCCACCCGTCCATCCCTGAATCACTTTTTAATAACAGCTTTCACATTTACTAGCATCTTTACTTATGACTCAAGATGATAAAATGTAAACTAACTCTAGTCCCTTTCTTTTTATTAGATTCTGAAAAACCATTTTTGAGTGTCTAATGAGTAAAGAGATAAGCAAGTAACTTCAATATAGAACAGATTTCTAAATAACCACAGGCAGAACCAAGTATCAAGCAAGCAAACGTTAGCACAGAAACCAGGCATGTCTTTTCTTTTATACTTCTTGCCTAATGATTACATAGGGTAACTAACTATACAACTGACTCAGTCAAGTTACTATAATAACGAAAAGTGCTTCATAAAATTTCTAAGTATGTATATGTGATTATTCCCATAAGCCAGTGGCTGTTATGACAGAGCGATAATGCTGATGCTATGACACCGATTTATTTCAATACACCAGTCTACTGCAATGGATTCTTTTGCACAGTATTGAGGGAGAACAGTAAAACCTCAAGAAAAGTATGTTAAATGATGCAGAAACGACTGTCTCTGCTCTGAGCAACTATCTATTTCACAGAGAATAATCGATGTACTACATAGGAGGGTTTTCATTTTTAAATCTGCAACTTGCCTCTCGGCATTACTTACAAGACATTAAAAATACTTACAAGACATTAAAAATAAATCGCATGTGCAAACAAAACATATCAGCTAAAAATAGTGTATCTATTTCAAAAGCTCAAGCAGAAGCCTTCCAACTGAATTAAAATTAAATGGTGGGTTTTTTTTTTTTATTTTTCATCTCTGTATCTTGAAATTACACCTTCCACGTTTATGAAGCAGACAGACCAGTGTCCACACAGTCTCCAGTGGGTCATCTGGAAGAATTTAACGAGTATAACTCTTCGTGAACATAGCCCACTTTCCACAGGACACATGCAATCAAAGTCCTCCTCACTGTAACATCCAGAGTAAACATGTGTGTGCACAGGTTATACATGACATATACACACAAATCAATGAAGAGCCTTTCTCGATTAGGTTATGCAGTGCAATTTCAAACCGCTGTCCTTTTTTTTTTCCGGAAACAGAAGTGAACGCCCTGTGTAAACAAACGCCCCGTGCAAAAGCCGTCGGGTGTCAGTCAGGTGGGCAGGCAGGTAAGGGGGGGGGGAGGCCGTGGCCACGCGGGAGGGTCCAGAAGGCGGACGGGGCCCTAAGGGCGGCTCCACCCACGGAGCTGCTGAGGCTGAGGCAGGAGGGCTCCCGCAGCCCTCATCAGCACCACCCAGCCGGCGGCCCGAGGCAGGGGCGGCAGCAGCATCGCATCGCCACGGCGGCTCGGGGCCGGAGGCGGGGGCGGAGGCCGCGCGCGACCTCCGTCCGAGCCCGAGGCCGCCCGCCCGCCCGGCCGGCCGGCCGCCCGCCCTGACGGGCCGCGGAGGGTGGGAAGGTCACGGCCCCGCGGGAGGCCCGGGCCGAGTGACCACCCAGCCCGCCCGCGCTACCTTTGGCCTCGCAGTCGGCGCAGTACTTGTTGTCCTCCTCCCTCAGCAGTTTGGACAGGATGAGCTGGTGCTGCTCGTTCAGCTTCTGAGCCTTCTCCCGACACGAGCGTGTCGCCATGTCGGCGGCGGACCGGGACGCGGGCGGGCGGCCGGGCGGGCGGCACCGGGGGAGCCGGCGGGCGAGGGCAGCTGGCGCCGCTGGGGCCGCGGGCGGGCTCGGCCCAGGAAGCGGCGGCGGCGGCGGCGGCTGGAACCCGAGGAGGGGCGGCGGCGGCCGAGGCAGCACCGACGTGTCCCGCCTCCTCGGCCGGCCCGCCGCACGCTCCGCCCCAGCCGGCAAGGGGCGGGGCGGAAAGAGCCGCGACTTCCGGGAGGACGGAGCGGAGGACGCTACGCATGCGCCGAGATGCCTGCCTTGGCGGGGCGGGGTGGGAGGGGCTTCCCCGTACCAAGGTGATTCCAGAAACCCCTCAGGCATTAGCCAGGATGAGCTTTCCCACACTTGATGCCGATTGTCGCTTGAGGTCTCTGACCTGCAGATGGAAGGCTTTTTTTTTTTTTTTTGGCCAGGAGGCGACTTTCATTTGTTTCCCGACCTTTGCTTTTGCCTACACAACACGGAAAATGCTCAAATTGTAGTTAATATTGGGTATATGCATACTTGGATCCCGTATTTGTGCAGCGACAGTTTGGAAAGAGTATTCTAGAACCTAGAGAGACGTATGGAATGAAATGGGCCTCAAAGTGTCTCACATGTTAGGGGAAAGTAGTAATCTAGTAGTGACATATTTGGAGGGGTGACATTAATTGTAAGGTTACTCTGGCATTAAGTATTGGCTGGTACTGATAGCCTCGTCTACAGGTAAGCGAGACCAAAGAGTCAAGTCACTTGGCCGTGCTACAAGTGGAAGAGTTAAAAACCAGACAATAAACGCCATCCAGGAAGAAGAAAAGCGATCAAGGAGTGAAATATTAAAGGGGTGTCACTTCAGCAAGAAATGGTGTGCTGCTAGGATTCCTTCCCTCTCCTAAGATGCCAAACACAAACTTGGGTACAGTTCCGCCAGAGTTCCCAGGGAAAGCAATGAGCTGTTTAGGCTTAAACAGACTAATGAGTTAAGGGGTATGGGCAGGAGCACAGGTGACCTTGAACTAGCCACACTGGAAGGTCTTGGCCCAGCAGGGATGATGGATTCTCCAGGGCTGTCTAGTATGAACTCCCTCCTCCGTTCATTCCCCCCCCCCACACCTACATCCTCTAGCTCCTCCCAAAGTCCAGCTAGCTGTTAAGTAGGGCAGAATCACATACAAAAAATTTTTTGGTGGGGATGTTGCATTTTCTGGTAAGGGTCCCATAACCCTCACTGTCTCCTAGGATGATAAAGAATCAACAGACCCAGCTGCAATAATCTTTTGCAAACAGTACTCTTGAAGAATGGCAGTTTGCCTAAAAGGTTCTTCCTACCCAACACAATGTAAACAATATTCTTCCATGCAAGGAAAAAGAAGACGACGACGACAGCAGGGCCTGGTGGTGGTGGTGGTGCGCGCCTTTAATCCCAGCACTTGGGAGGCAGAGGCAGGCAGATCTCTGTGAGTTTGAGGCCAGCCTGGTCTACAGAGTGAGTTCCAGGACAGCCACGGATATACAGAGAAACCCTGTCTCAAAAACCAAAAAGGGGGGGGGGGTGCGAAAGAGAAAATATTCCAATTACAGCCCGTCAGGGTCACTGGGTTTGAATTCAGTGAAACGGCTGGAATGATTTGGCCCTCTATGGATTAGTATTAGCAATGCTATATGGGGCTTATGTAAGCAGAATAAACATGGCCTTGGCCTGTGATAGGAAAGAAGCTAAAACTGGCACTAAGCAGGATTCTCCGTGTTGCACTCTACCTAACCCTCTTGGGCTTAAGATTCCAGAGCGGTAGCAGTCAATTGTGGAGGGGAAGCATGGCTACAAGGGGCAGACATGGCATACGGAGCGCAAACCGAGGGCTCACATCTTGGGAGAACAACCGGGAATCAGATGATGGATGACACTGGGAACTTATAGACACTTATAAAACTCAAAACCTAGGACAAGGGGCATACTTCCTCCAGTAAGGCCACACCTGCAAAATGTTCCCAAACTGACACTAGCTGGGGACCAATTATTTAAATGTCTAAGCCTATGGGAGGCATTCTCATGCAAGTAGCCACATTATTGCAGCAAGATGAATCTGACAACACAAGGAATGTAGTTTAGCAACCTGGGACTCCACTTGGCTCAGGCTATACACACACCCCCGGTCTTTAAAAACAAAAGTCATTCATGCTTTAAGAACTTCACACTGACAGTGTTCTAACTCATCTCAGATCTACCTATAATTTGGTGTCCTCTAGTCTTTTTTGGAGGGGTGTGTGTGTGTGCCCTCTGAAAATTCTACCTAGCACTGTGAACATTCAGAAAGCAGAAGACAGGCTCACCACCAGTGAATGACCCATAGGATAGACCAAAGGGGCTAAGAGATATAAAATTCATTCTGCACACACAATATTAAATGTTTTTAAAGCTACATCTAAAACTGGGGGGGGGAATATGATATTCAGATATTCATTTTAACAGCATGTTTTAACGTCAGTGTATCCAAAATATCATGTAAGAACTATTAAGAAAAAGTGTAGGAATGTTTTAATCCTGGTTCTCATGTTGGTATCAATATACAATGTGTATTGTGTGTTTTTATACTGACAGCTCATTCCTATCTGGTATAACCAAACTTCAAATGCTCAATAGCCACAGTGAATAATGGCTACCTTACTGAAGAGTATTTCCCTGGATAATCATCCTAGAAGCCACTGAGTTAGAGGTGGTTGTACTTTAAGGTTGTAGTGGGAAGAGAGTGTTAAAAAGCATCTGGGAGGGGGAACAAAATTGCACTCATTTGTCAATAGTTGTCGTTTCTACCCCACTGGTAACCAAAAGCTTACCATCTACAGTTAAATACAAACATATGAAGAAAACGTAAGAGCACTATAAAATCTGTAGCAAAAGGAATGGAATGTCCTGTAGCCTGGGAGAGAATCCAGCAAGGCTTCCTAGAGGAGATGATGCTTAAACTTGGTTTGAACAAATGCAGGGATTCAAGTGAATGAAGATGGAAGAGAGAAAATGGAATGGCTTTTTAAAAAATATATACAGACTCACGAAAGTACAAGATTTCATGAAAGACATATGCTCATAGGAGGCTGCAGGAATCTAGAATGGATACGGAGAATGTGAAGCTGGAGCAGGGTCCACCGCACAGGAGGTAGATTAAAGCCAAGGAGTTTAAGCTTTGGGACAAGCTGTAGGGTTTGAATGCCAGGGGCATGAGAGACCACAGGCGCCTTTTTTTTTTTTTTTTTTTTTTCTTTTCTTTTTTTTTTTTTAAACTGGGGAAGATGATGTCAAAGGCTTTGTTCTCCTCAATACAGTGACAATGTGGAGAGCCTGGTTGGGGGAATCTGCTTTCAAAGGAACAGTGATAGAACCCCTACAATAACAGTCGGAAGAAGATCTGATGAAGGCCTGCTTTAAGGAAATAGCATAGGATTTTGAGAGAGACAGAGTCAAGTGACATTTTAAAATTAGAAGCAGTAAAATTTGGCAGCTGACTGGGGGGGGGGGAGAAAGGAGGTGAGAATAACACCAGGACTTCTAAGTTGGGAGACAAGTAAAATGGAGATGCCACTAACCCAGATCCAGAGGAGAAAGGCCAGCGCCTTTGCGGGCTGGCACTCAGCCCATTCACAGCCTGCCACCATCACACAGTAATCTATCTTCTTCACCAAGGACTTCTAGTCAACAGAGTTGCCACCATCATCTGGAGGCCCGACACCAGTCACCGCCTAGCAGATGCCACACACCAGTAAGCAGAGTCATTAACGGACAGCATTCTCTGCCTCCCCACAGTGTCCTGCTTTGGGGAGGGACCACCTGGCCAAAATAACACCACTTTTCTACACAGCCCTCAAGCTTGCCTTTGAGGATAAGTACATATGTTGTTGGTTTGGTTTGGTTTTCTTGGTTTGTTTTGTTTAAAAAAAAAAAAAAATCCATCACCAGGCTGTTTAGAATTGAGAGGACTCAGCAGGAAAAAGCATCATCGGGTCATCAAACCTGACAACCCGAGTTTGGTCCCCAGAACCCACATGATGGGAGGAAAGACCCAACTCCTACAAGTTATCCTCTGACCTCCACATTCATTTCATAGCACCACCCATGTGGTAGTATGTGCTCCTACACACCACACACCACACACAACCACACACCACACACCACACACACCACACACACCACACACACCACACACACCACACACACCACACACACCACACACACCACACACACCACACACACCACACACACCACACACACCACACACACCACACACACCACACACACCACACACACCCACCACACACACACACCACACACACACACCACACACACACACCACACACACACACCACACACACACACACACACACACACACCACACACACACACCACACACACACACCACACACACACACCACACACACACACCACACACACCACACCACACACACCACACACACCACACACACCACACACACCACACACACCACACACACCACACACACCACACACACACACCACACACACACCACACACACACACACCAACCACACACACACACCACACACACCACACACACACCACACACACCCACCACACACACCCACCACACACACACCACACACACCACACACACCCACCACACACACACACCACACACACACCATACACACAAACACACACACACACCAACCACACACACACACCAACCACACACACACCACACACACCCACCACACACACACCACACACACCCACCACACACACACCACACACACACCACACACACACCACACACACACAAACATCTTAATGTCACATCAAAGAGGCCCCCCTCTCCTCCCCTCTGCCACTGTGCCCGTTACTCCTGACTCAAGCCTCTATGTCATCTCACAAGACTTTCAATATCAAATGATTGCCAGCCAAGAAATAAAAACAAAATCATCCCATTTCCCTCCCCCCGGATTCGAATCTTAACAAAACCGCATACAACTCCAAGACACTGAAGGAGAATCACGCTCGATCTGGAGGGATTCACACATAAAGGAAAAAATGACAGTGCATTCTGAGTCACGGGCATCCATCAGTCTTACCAGATGGAGCTGAAAGTCTTCACCCCTGGAGAACTGGCCATGTTTAAATTGGGAATCTGACTTGTTTTTCACCAGCTCTAA